AAGGGACACCCAAGCTGGTTGTACCATAATCCAAGACAAAATTGAGTTTTGGGGGAGTATTTCTGCCCCGCAACCAGAATTTTTATCTGGCTTGATCACGATTCCTTTCCTGGACACCTAGCTCTCGTCCCTTTTCAGTGAAAAACGCTGTGTCACGCTGATAGCGGGCACACTGAGTACCGGTACTGCAATGATAACTGCACGTTTAATCACAGTTATATATACTTGTGTGGTAAAAATGCCCCCCTCATAAAACTGCCAAGGGGCGAAGCATAGGTGTTTCAGCTGCACTAAAGTTGGGAGGGGTGAAACATGCAGTGTGTGCCAGTGTTTCCAGCAGTAAAATCGCTTGTAATGGGCAATTTTGGATGATGGACTTCTTTGACGATGCTCTAGTTGTGCCAAGCCTGAAACCGGAAATGTAGGGAAGGGTGTTTCCACTCTACTATATATAACGTCCTCGGAAAACTGCATCAGAAAGCCGTCTCTTCTTTCCTAGATATGCAGAAAGACGATAGTATTTCTTCGGGTACGTGTTTCGACGCAAAACATTTTAGCCCGTCTGTCTTTCTGTCTGTCTGCTTGCCCACTGTAACAATACTTCAAACGGCCCCACACGATACCCTAAACGGCCAACTCATCCGCAGCGCCCACCAATATTGCTCAATTTTCAGCGTTCATATATTTGTGCGATTGTGAACTAAAAAGCGATCATTGCGCATATCTGAGGCACCATAAAAAGTCAATATTTTGTACGCGTGTTTTTATATTAGAGAAGACGTACATAAGTAACTCTAAGGACCATAGCGTTTATCACGCCGCACTGACAATGCAACGCGATGCTCAAAAAGGCAAGTGTTTCTAATTTCTAACACTTTGCTAAGACGACACGGTGGTGACACCTCCCGTCGCTTTGAGTTCTACAGCTTATCGCCTCCAAGACGGGCGCGTACGCCTTCCTTCGTTTTCTCTAATACAGGATTGTCTCTTACAAGTGTAAAAGTGTATATTTTAACTCGTGTACAGATGCAAGCACATTTGTCTAGAGCACGCAGCCGGCTGCTTCAGCTGCCGTTTTCTGCAGAAATATGTAAGTATACCAATGCCGTAATGATACCAAATATGATCCTACTGCGTCCTAGGCCCTGGTGTCGTAATTTAAGCATGAACGGCAGCTTGTACATAACGTGAGTTAAAAGCCGCAGCCAACAACAGTGTCGCCAGCCACGAGCTCCGCTGCTCTAGACAAGTGTGATTTTATCTGTACCGGCTTTCAGGGCTCCGCCATAGTCCTTTCTGGGATAGCGCATATCGGCATGAGCCTCCGAAAATACAAAGCCGAAGCTGTGACGGCCGCCTTTGTCTTCCCGAGCGCAGCTCAACATAGCGGCGTTTCTTTCCATCCTGTGAAAAGGTGTATAGTACACGCGCACCCTTACAAGCGCATGGCATACACGTGACGTAAAATGACGGCTACTCTTTGGGGACTAAGTTAACACTGTAGGCTGGTGCACGATGATGGCGGGTGGCGTACCCCCCCACCCCAACCCCTGTAACCATCGGAAGCAGAGGTCGGCAAACTTTTCAGGCAGAGGGCCAAGTTTCATGAAGCCGACAAAGCCGCGGACCACGCGGAAAATTAGGGGGGAGGGGTGCATTTGAAAGTGAAACGTAAAAAATTGGCGAATGGACTGGTAAAACTGAATTAAAAGTTATGTTCCCTTTCAGCCCGGATGTCACAAACTTGCAATGAAACATATAGTCACAAGTGAAAATCCTATTTTCAGTAAAAGCTGCCACGTCAAGAAGTGGCAAGGAATATAGGGAGGAGACCTTGGCGCCGTGCCAGGGGCCGCATAAAACTGCCACGCGGGCCACACGTTGCTGACCCCTTGCCCTATACCTCTACTCAATCGTACCCGTCCCGTCACTCTTAAAGTGTAAAGCTCGGTTACGCAGCCTTCTGACAATGGCGAATGATGACCACTGATTTTGCATTTTGACTTATTTACTACCCATCTTTGCCCCCGCTAAGCCGGGGACCGATGGGAGTCCGTCGTGGAAAGCACGTCGCCTCTCCTAAATTTAATTCACCTCCATCAAAAATGCGACCGCCGCAGCCGTGATACGCTCCCGCGACCTTCGGGTCAGAGCAGTCGAACACAGTCACCATTAGGGCGCAACGGCAGCCGGGTTGAGATGAAAAAGAAGATGGCTTTTTCGAGTAGTCATAAGCAGAGGCGCACGCACGGGGGCGCCCCCGCCCCAATTTACCACATTAAAAGGGGGGTCGCAAAGTCAGCCCTACACATTGACATAATAAAGGTCTTTGCGAAGAACGTAAGGGGCGCTGCAACGAACCTTGGGCGCCTCTCCCCTTCAAGGTGAACCCTCCGCGCGCCTTATATACATGCATATATGCAAATGAATAAGTACCACATATCATTTCTCGTCAGCAAGGCAGCGGACAAAACGCCCGAATAACGTAAATAAAAACAACGCTCACTGCGTGCCGTGTTGACGCAGCTGGCCACCTGGGCGGACGCCCTGCGTGATGCGTTCAGCAACGAGTCCACCATGCGGTCCCTGCGCTCGCGAAACGCCGACGGCTGCCGCCTTTCGGGTTGCAAAGCCTGTTGAGAATTGTCCGGGGAGGGCAGTCGAAGTTCTTCGATCGGCTGCTGTTGTTCATCTTGGGGCCTACGGCTATCTTCGAGCTCATGAACCTGCTGTTGCTGCTCCTCCTGCATAACTTGGCACGATGATCCGAACGTGTGACGGTCACGAGACAGCGACACGTCACGAAGGTGAGCTGCGGTGCGCGAGCGCGTGCTGACAGTGCTCGATCAATGATGATGGTTATGATGTTCGCAGGCTACGCCATCTATGGCTATGCTGCAAGCCCAAGACGTCCTGGACCTTCCCAGCACGGCGAGCGAAGATCCAGTAGATTGGATATAATACGTAGCAAGGAAGTGACTATCGTAAATTGCTATCGTATTGCTGGAATGTAACTATAGCTGTATAACGTTGCGTGCGTATGTTGCGTTTGCTCACAGACAGACTGACGCCAGTGCTGCAATGTAGAGGTCACTTAATTAGGGGTTCAACCACCTTCCCCCTTTTCCCCGAAAACAATGTTTCTTTCATTATGGTAAAATCAGCGGACAAAGACGGCAACACGAGAAGCAGAACGCAGAGGACAGACGCTTTAATTTTGCGCGGCTTTTACCAATATAAGCCAACTAGTACACGTACGCGATAACAATTTCTAGCTACGCTACTGACACCATGTCTTCTCGACTCGACAGGTACGTACGCCACCGCAGGTGACACTGGCGTAGCCGGGGAAGGGGGGTGGGATGTTCGTTGTTCAGAAGACAGCTCGAGAGATAATATCTAGTGCTGCATGCAATGAGCTCGTGTCGAATAAGACTAGCATCCCATCCCTTTACTATGCAGCCTGGCGTAACTCGACAAAACGGCGCGTCACGAAACGCAGCCGCTGCCACAAACGAGGCGACCTTTGTTTAGTCTATGACATCAACGCAAAGCTTTAAATGCAAGCACCCCACACGTACAGAGGCACAAGCGGTCTGCTGTTCCGGTGAAACACCAGTGCTACATAGCTTTCTCCCTTGAACCCGTCTATGGTCTTTTCGCGCCATGGAGATAGTCGGCGTGTTTTATCTCTGCATAGGTAGCGAGTGTAGAACGCCCACGCACGTTTTCATTCGCCCATAGGACATACAGCGTGCGGGGCTATGTTACCGTCTTCGACTATTTACAGTACATCACGGCGACAACGACGGCAAAAAGGCGCGTGGAGTGTCCAAATCATCATCATCATCATCAGCCTGACTACGCCCACTGCAGGGCAAAGACCTCTCCCATGATCCGCCAATCAACCCGGTCTTGTGCTTTCTGCTGCCGCATTATACCTGCGAACTTCTTAATCTCGTCGGCCCACATAACTTCGTCTCCCCTTCGTGCGTTTGCCTTCTCTGGGAATCCAGTCAGTTACCCTTAGTGATTAGCGGTTATCCTCCCTACGTGCTAGCCCGGCCATGTCCATTTCTTTTCCCGATTTCAACTGTGATATCCTTAAACCCGGTTTGTTCTCCGGCCCACTCTGCTCTCTTCTTGTCTCTTAAAGGGGCCCTGAAACAATTTTTTTCAAGTAACCACGGAATGAATTCACTGGAAAAGCTTATTGCCTCACAAATTAAACGCCACAAAAGTTTTAAGAATCTGTCCAGCGCGAGTGGAGTTACAAAGGTTTGTCGCATGCTGCAATAGCATTCTCTCTTCTCTCGTCCCGACGAAAGCGCTGGAAGCTAAGCAGAGAGGGACGGCAGGGCCACAGAAGAACGTCACGCGTGCCTCGTGGGCTTGAGCAGTTTTTTTTTTTTTCTTGGAATGCGCCGCTTTTTTCGGTGTGATCGCGCACGCACACGGGGACAAGCCGCGGCCTCCCGCGGCGATCTCTGTAACGAGCCAGCGCATCATGTTCAAATTAACCAATGGCTGATAGACTGGTACTTCACGTGTGATTTTGGCGCATATTCCGCCATTTGTTGAGAGAACAATTTTTAGCTGACTTCGGTAATTTATTGTGAATTCCAGGCCGCATGCTGTGCTATATTTGGCTTGCGTGTTGTCGGGAGCCTCTACTACCGATCAGCAGCGTTTTCTGACCGATGCTCAAAAAGTGTTGCAGGGCCCCCTTTAAAGTTACACCTATCATTATCCTTTCCATTGCTCGCTTCGTTGCCCTCAATTTAAGCTGAACCCTCTTTTTAAGCCTCCAGGTTTCTGCCCCGTGGATAAGTACAGGCAAGATGCAGCTGTTATATACTTCCTCTTGAGGGTGGGTTAGCGGCAGATTACCATTCATCATTTGAGAATGTGATCCACTGCATCCTTATTCATGGTTTGGCCACATAATTACTGCTAAATATATTGAGTCCATGAATAGATACATAATAATGAGAATTGAAGAAAGTGCATTAAAAATTTTTATTTTTGCAAAAGTACTCAGCTTGTATTACATGAATTATAATACATTAAATACACATATAGGAGAGAAAAGGTTTATGCACAGCAAAGTTATAAGTACAGCAGACTTATGCATGTCAACATATTCAAACCTCCTAACTCTCTAGAACAAATTTTCATGCAGATCTATAAAGAGTGCACTGTAACACAGTAAACTAGAGTGTCTTAAATTACATGTCTTGGTTAGTTACCTCAATGAATCGTTAAAAATCATAATGTCCTGTTAGCTCAATACAACAAGAGGTATCTTTGCAGTACAAAATAAGCACATGATTCCATGCTGCGTGATGGGTTCACATAAACATATTTCCTATAAGACTTACTAAAACATTTGGTTCTTTACTCAAAACTGCAAGCAGAAGTATATTACAAACGAGCACTTACATCGCAAGCCTGCTTGCCTGCAGCTGCTTCTTGTACAAAAATGGAGCCAGGAAAGAGGTATGATCAGTAACTGAATGTATTGTTAACAATGCATTGCTGTCAGCTTACCTTGTTGACATTGCTGACTGACACTTTTGGTGGTCTGCCTTAGGGTTCTAATTTAGAGATTCACAACCTACAGGCAGAGCACTTGGCCTCAGTGAGTACAAAATGGACAAGAAATGCCGGCCTACTTTTCATAAGACCAACGACACTTCCAACCAAAATTTATTCAGCACACAAACGAAACAACAAAGAGGTCTTTGCCGTCTAAACTTTCCAACATGCTCAAAACTCTGCTTCTCGGTTCTTTGGCTGATGACTGTGGCACCTGTTATTTCAAGAGCCAACGAAACTAGGTTTTAGCAAGCCTCTGGCGCATGAAAGAACCCTGAGCCACATTGGCTGCGGCTGTGATAAGTTTTGTAGACCAGAGCGTTGCTGGCTACTTGCGGCACATTGTGGCATCGATCTGCGTCACACTTGAAGATATCATCATGATCTTGCGCCTGTACATAGGGTCCTTCTCGATGGGGTTGCTGTGTAAGTAGACTGTCGCCAGCTTGGGGAAATTCCGAAGCACTTCCACTTCTTCGAAGTTTTCTATCAAGTTGTTGTTAAACTGCACAGAAAAAAAAAAAAAACAGAAGTCTTAACATGAAAACGCGCCACATATATGGTGATTAATTTGCACATCAAAAGAAAGCCCGCTCATGAAAACACAACTCAGCCTGACTGCTTTTTACATAACTATCAAACATAAACAGGGCCTAAGTCAGTGAATGTCATCTAATAACTATAAGATTAATCGTGGATTTAATTGAAGTCGTTAAGACCAATGTGCAGTGAAGAGCAGATGCTACTCAACATCGCAGAAGGTCGATGACGTCCTCACTAATGTCACACCACGTGCACTTGGCATGGCTGCACACCGCCTTCTCCCATTGCCCAACTCATCTCCTCTCAGTTCCCTTTCTCTCCGCTTGAACACCTGCATGTCTCCAACCTTCCAACTTGCCTCCCTCCTCAACTTGCCTCCACTATACTACTATGCCTTGTCCATCTTCACCCTCGCTTCTCCTTCCATCGTTAGCTATACAATACACGACTATGCTATGCTTTAACACACTCTAGTGTTTTCCCTCATCACTTCCACTTCCTTTCCCCACCCCTTGCTATACCATGCTATACATACACTCTAAGAAAAAAATGGAGTATTCGGGGAGTAGTTCTGCTATACAACAATAATCGTCATCTAACTTGCTTCGCACTTCCTTTCTTGAAAACCCGGTACTAGGCAAATTCCTGTCAAGAATGCCATGTCACACTGATAATGCGCGCGTCGTTCGTGACCGCGAGCTACCGGAACCGTGGTGATAGCGCGAAGAAAGTACTCGATGTAGATGACGATTATTGTTGTGTAGTAGAAACATTCACCAAATACTCGATTTTTTTTAGAGTGCAGGTATATTTTACCCTCTCACCTCCCACTTTCCCTCCTCCTTATGATCCCATCCAACTACTCATCCACAATTCCCTTTCTCACCCCCTTGCTTTTCTATACTACACATGGCTATGCTATGCTAGGAGCTATGCTAGGCTATGCTATGCTGGGCACATACCCAATAGGCAACTTATGCACAAGTGGCTCATTTATAGTGGGGTGGAGGTGAGTACTGGGGCTTGCCTAAATTACTGCGACACATATTCACTTCGCTATGCTATTAACTATTGCTACTACATTCAAGCTCATCTTTGAAAGCTCTGCTAGTAGAACTTTCGTCGCCTAATGTACCTTTCATCATTGCGTGTCGACACTATGCGAACATTTACACCATGCTCTCTAACAGAGTTGGTATAAAAAAACCACATGCAATTTTGAACAACTTGTGCAATGTTTAGCTACAAACAAACCAGCCTACAGAATAGATAAAAAATGCAGCAAAAGCTCATTAACTCAGAAAATCTGATAATGCTAACCTCTTCCAACCAATACTCACTCGATTTCACAAAACACGTGGCAGAAGCTGTTGAAAGCGACGAGCATTTGAGTCTGGGTCTGAATGCAGGCAAGAAGCTTAACTGCTATATCGAACAGGATAAACATTCTGTTGCCGATAAAATAATTATTTTTCCATATGTGCAGCAGCACACACTTTACAATAATGATGTGGTACGTGACCACGGTGGCAGTACGAGAAAAGGAAGGAATGAATAATACTTATTAAATTACTTAATTATTTTTTTGTTTATTTATAAATAATGCAATCCCTTTTAGGGATTTTACAAAAATGGGATTACAAAGTAACAAGAACATCGAAGCAAATTAATTGTTAAGGAAATCACAAAATGAAAATTAAGCCTTCTACACTGCTCTTACACAGTATAAAAACCAAGATTTACATATTCATGCAGAAAAATAGGATGTACTGATATAACAAACATTTGCTTATTGTTTTCTTGATGCTCTCAAAAATTTGGTAATGACTTAAGACATTTTTTTCTGGTCCCGTGAAATCAAGATGAATATCACTAATAAGTCTGTGAAAAATTACCACTAGTAAAAAGTAAAACTATGTACCACAATTTACAATATTAGGAATGAGTGCAGTTTCATACCCAAAATTCTTCTAAGTTGACAAGCTGTTTAATGTTGGTCAGGTGCTTGATCTTGTTGGCCGCGAGGTCTAAGGTTTCTAGTTTCACCTGCAGGCATGAGAGGAAAACCAAAATTAGGAATAAAAACCATAAGTAGTCTACAGGAATTAGCCTCTACTGAATGAATTGCTGACTGGCTATGCTTTACACAATGCTCTTAAACCATCTACCAAAAAATACATTACCTATTTAAAAAAGCAAGCAACCTTGCGCGAGCGGCTGAATTAAGTCGTGAAATCTCACCAGGCGCCCTTTTTTTTTGGCACGCCACCTACCCAGCGCTGGCCTCCCATCATAGGCAGAGGAAGGAAGGAAGGAAAATATAACGAAAAGAACGGCAGGGAGATTAACCAGCCTATAGGCAGCCGGTTTGCTACCCTGCGCATGGGAGGGGGAAGGGGGAGATGAAAGATAGAGAGCCGAGAGGGAAGAGAGATAAACACAGCACATTCGCCAGCACACGCGCGATCATAGGCAGACAGTTTTAATATACCCGTAGGAGAGGGGCACACGACTTGCTTTCACACATTTTATTATACATATTGTGAGCATTGTTCATACACTTCATCTTTCCATCTGTAAATACCCATCATCATTACTTTGGTCTGAGCAGCAGGGCTCTGGCTCAAGTGCAAACAGAGAAGAGTCTTGCGGCTCAAACATCTCAGGAGTGGTGGATTGTGCTGTGCGGTCCCTTAGTCCTCTGGCTCTGCCAGTTCCTTCAAGCCTTCTACTCTGATACGCCCCTGGAGCTTGGTTCAGCTTGTCATTTGCACCAACAGTACTCGGCAATGTCTCAAGAAGAGCCTTCTAACACTGGACCATCTATGATGTCTGCCCGGACAGAAACCTGTCCCTGCTTGGTCGCCGCATCTCACAAAAATTCACCGATGTTTTGTGGCCAAGACTTGGTTTGTCAATAACGAGCTTGAGTTCCTTGGTTAGACCTCATTTAAGCATCGGCAGAGACAGATATAATGGCCGTCTTTTTGCTACATTTGTATTTAAACTCTCCATTTACGGAGAACCATGTTTACTCTTTGAAAAAATTAAATTTAATTCAGAATACTTTTCTTCTTTGCAATTGTGGAACTACATGAAATAATATTATAGTTAACAAGTTATAGTGTAATTGTAAATAAAAAAAAAAAACTCAAACCACTCTGCATCCAGGATGCTCTGCACTCATTAACATAAGAAATTGAATATCTGACAAAATACCTGTCGTATTTCTTAGAATTACATGCAGACTGTGACTCAGGCAACATAAACTTCTGGGACTTGGTCATTACTTAAGGTTTGACAGCGTGAAAAAATACACCCGGGACAGGAAAAAGACGGGACAAGCGCTGACTTCCAAGTAAAATTTTATTGACAAGAGGGCTTTTATTATACCCGAGTGAACAGAAAAAACAGAGAAAAATGACAGATGTAAAGATACGAAATATCACGAACAATCACTGAGCCTGCTACGCTGACCCTCGCACCTAAAAAAACATAGCTAGGCTGATGGCTTGCTTACGCAGGCGCTCCTTTCAAGCGCCATCAGAGCAGCCTCATAGATTATACGCTAGTGTTCTTTAAACTTGCCGGGAACTGTTGTCTTTTCGAACAGCAAGGTGCACCAGCACGTGCTCACGTGTTACGCCAGGAAGCCATCTTTGCCATTGCGAACATTATTGGCGTCTTCCTCCATAAGCGTTCGTTTAGGCACCTGCCCGTCTGGCCCACGTAGCATGCACCACATGACAATGGGGTCCTGCACACCACACCTAGCGCACAGTCGACAAACTGCGTTCTGTGCATAACCATACACTGCTTTCCGTTTCTCTTTTTGTACTGTACTTTTTTTGGGTTGCTAAACCTTAGGTATGCTAAACCAACTAGCCCAATCAGTCAATTTGTTGGTCGTCACACCAGGAATGATTGCAAAAGTGACTACTATTTGAGCTGCAACCGCAATAACTATACTTTTAACACTTTGAGCAGTGCTCATTTTTACTGTAACCTTCTCCACAAGAAAGACACGTGAAGAGAGCGTCATTTCTACAACAGTGCAAGAAACTTTGTCATCGTTCATTAAATTATTGCCGAATGTGAACAACACCTGCTTTAAACTCAGAATTAGGATATTGAAGAGTTCTTGGTGCACTCATTAGAATTTCCACAAGAACACCCTTGCATTTCGTCGTTTAAATAAAAATGCCACAGCCATCTTCACACAAGCGTGGCTACTTTTCGGCCAGTCTTTCCAATTTCTTGGCTATATTTTTTTTTGTCTTTTCGACCTGGCAATCATGCCTAAAGAAAGAAGCTTCCATTGTGCAACTGAATTTCATCAACATAAACTCCAAGGTGACTAAAAATTCAGCCAAAAAACGATCGAAACTTTTGGAGAAAAGCGACATGTTATTGCCCAGCAATAAGGTTGCACCTGCTTGACTGACCAGATGATGCTACTACATACACTGTAATGCCACAACTTCAGCCGAGATTAATAAAATGGTTAGCTTGTATGCAAAATCTGGAGGTATTGGAGTGCGCAGTTAACCAATGCAGAGTTTACCCTAACTGATACTGATGTATAAAAAGCAGCCCAGCTGTTTTACTCGTGTGCCGTGAATAGAGAATGTTGAATTATACAAAGTGGCCTAGGCTGATTATGAAAAAAAAAAAACTTGGCCATAAAATGAAATGCAAATACAGTAGTAGCAAAGCATTAGACAGTCGCACCAAAGCTTGTACTGTTTTATTCTGCATCATGTAACCACCAAAACAAATGATACAACCTTCAATGATTAAAGCAAGTGGAAAGGAACCCTGAAACAGTTTTGGCGTTATTGTACAAACACATTGGGCCGATAGACCAAGTCCCAAGGGTTGAGACCGACTTGAGCTCTTTTGCTTAAACTGTGTAATTTATTATAATACTTAAAAAGCTGTGGATCGCTGCAGATCTTTGCGACTCGGCCAAGCGCGCTTTCAACCACCCATTGACATAGCAACATGCTATGGCCACTTGACGAGGTCAGAGCACGTCAGCAGCTATTTCACCGTGGCTGCCGACCTGATTGGCTGTCATGGGCTATAAAATGCGCGGAAGTAAGATCGGCTGATAGGGGGTGGCACCTGTCGGAGCAGATATAACTACTCCGCGACTCTTCATCTCTGTTGACAGACAGCGTGCGTGCTGCCGGGCGCGCAATGGGGTGGCCTCCGAGACTGCGCGTAACCTGTCGGCATGCGATTTCTGAGGTCTAGAGTTCAAATGGTTGAATGCCTTCATGAGATGGCCAGCAATGCTAGCATGCCTATTAAGTTGAGGAGGCCAGGTAGATGTGAGAAGAAGGGCATGTCGTAATTATCCGTAGCGTTCTTGGTACACGGCGTGCCACTAAATCTCTAGTGTGAATGGTTTGATGATGCTCTAGCCTAAACGCTGACAAAAAAAAACGTTTTACGTTCCTTTTAATGATGACACGTGCAAAGCCACCCACCCTCCTGACTAGCCCTTCACCTTGGCACCTACAACATAATACATTGCCCTCAACGTCAACACATGGGCCACAATTGTGGGAATCGATAATATATATATATATGCACATATTGAATGAATGGAACTCCATGTTTTTTTGAAGTTACAATCTACTCAGAAGCAGATAGGGTACAAACCAGAGGGTTTGCATGGAAAATAAGACGGATACTCACATTGTTTTCAAGGTTTTCAATTTGCTCAATGCCGTTGTGAGACATGAACAAGTGGCAGAGATTCCTGTTCTCACTCAGCCCTTCAAGTTTCACTATTCGGTTACTCTGGCAGAAAAAGAGCAACAATCATTCACGCGATCAGCCCAGAAAGAAATTTGTGCAATGCAGAGAGATCAGTACAGAGAAGGCTATAGTTGAACTTTAAGGTAAATATAGTTGAACTTTAAGGTAAACAAAAAAATATCTTGACATTTCCTCGTCAATACAAGCCTGTAACAAACACATGGGGCCATTATCATACCAGTAAGTCTAGAATGGCTTGAAAAGGAGATACTAACAGTAGTTTGTTAAAGTACCATGAAATTCCGAGAAAGCCCCCCCCCCCCCCCCTACTCCCCTTTGCTGAAGGATAATCTGACCCAATTTGGGAAGAGGGCACTTGCTCTGTTCCGGACCGAAATTCAAGGTGGCGGTGGGAGAACTAGTAAAAATAAATTCTTATTTACTGTTTTTATTTCCATCCGCCTCTGTCAAACTCCCCAAACGACTCCTCAACGTCGCACGAAAAAGTCTACTCCTCACACTTTCTCTGCACAGAATAACGTTCTTCTAAAGGTATATCGCCATCACTGGAGAGTCAGGTGTGCAGCACACCATCTCGCGAACCATGTAGCGCACTAGATACAATACACCCGGTAAATGATTCAGTCCCCATTACTGCTGAAATAGCTGTCAAGCCTTGGATATGAGTGACACACAAGTGACGCTCATCTCAGAAACAGAGGTTACCGTAGAGAAGGAGGGGGAGAGCGCTTGCTCGGGTGGGGACGCTAGATTTGCATTTTACGATACAGTATAACCACATTACAACAGACCTCCATAGTGAAGAGGATTTTAAAAAGTTGTTAAAGAAGTACGTAAAATCTAAGCACTGCTACAACAGACTTTTATGGAAACAATGAATGGGTCTGTTATAACCGGAGAGAATCACAAGTCATGTACAAATTCATTCTGAATGGAGCATAAAAAAATAATTTTCTTTTAATCGCATTTTCAGTTTCTGTAGCCCTTTTTCCGTTCGAGTCAAACATATCTTCACTGAAAACTACAAAAAGTTTTTTGCGCCTGCCGAGTTGGTGAAAATCATTGTGAAAGTCAAGGGGACAAACACACACACACCTGTTTATGAATGTTATATGCAGTGCTATTATGCGTAATAACACTGATTGGGCAGACTTTTGCACAGGACCTGACTTTTCTTGTTCAAAAGCAGCACTGTGAAGATTGTGAATAAGGCAACAGTACGCGAACGGCCAATTTCTGCGAGGGAAAAAAAATAAATAAAAAGGGCTCACTTGAATACTAAGCAGTTCCAGTTGCTTGAGGTGTTCGAGGTTTTGAAGCTTGGAGATCTTGTTCTTTCCCAAGAAAAGGTTTTTAACATTTACCAGTCGGTCCATGTTCTCAATGACCTGCGATTGCCAATGAGACATCATGACAGTGAGAACACTCTACTGAACGCTGGCCTACGTGCCAGCTATCAGCTTAAACTTCATCCAGCAATAAACCTGTATTTGGGCTAACAAGATATTGCAGAAATGAAAAAATAAAAAAATATTGAAATGACTTGGAGCAAGAACAAATGAAGCAAAAAGCCACAACTATTGGCACTTGCTACCCCTAATGAATTGCACCTGATTAGTGGATAACTTATATTTCAAATAACTGCATTTCCTGTACTTACATTTAGTGGCAACTGTCTCCATTCTAGTCATTCTGTCAGCTAAAGATGTCTAATAATCTACGCAGCAAAAGGGCTTCTCATGTGAATTCCTGGTTTGCTTCAAAAAAAGTAATATGAGAGGTAAGAAAAGAAAAAGATGTCTCAGTTTTGCCCCAAGGACAATGCAATGAATGTAATAGCAAGAAGCCCTGCCACGATGGTCTAGTGGCTAAAGTACTCGGCTGCTGACCCGCAGGTCGCGGGATCAGATACTGGCTGCAGCGGCTGCATTGTTGATGGCGGCGGAAATTTTGTAGGCCCGTGTGCTCACCGTTGGGTGCACGTTAAAAAACACCAAGTGATCGAAATTTCCGGAGCCCTCCATTATGGCATCTCATAATCATATGATGGTTTTAGGATGTTAAACACCACATATCAATCATTCATGTAATAGCAAAAGAAAAATAGAATACTACACGAAGAACGACAAGCATTTCGAAACTCCCAGTGTGCCGCTCAAGCACAAGAACGCATGAGCTAAGAACTGCCACACGTCGATACGCAGTGCGCTGCTTATACACAAACACGGATGCTTAAAAACAGTGCACAGGAGTACACGGGACAAGCACAAACTAAAAACTGTCACATTTACTTCTTTGTGTTGATTATGCACATTGTGTTGACTATGCACAGTGTTGATTATGCACATTCCATGGTTCTTAATTTGTTTTTTAGCCCTATGGATCTCCTGCCCAGTGACATTCAATGAATTTCGTGCCCGGTGCTCCACATCACAAGTGGGTAGAAAAAGGGCCACTTTTTCGTCCGCGTCTCAAGGGCTGTTTTCTAGTACCTATCACTTTCTAGTACACCTAAAATTGCCTAATAACATTAAATTGTTTAACGACACACTAAGAAGACCTAGGAGCTAGAAAAAGAGCAATCGCGCATAATACTCGCCTTTATTCGGTTGGAACCCAGCTCAAGCAACTCAAGGTTGACAAGTGTGTCGAGGTTCTCAATTTTTGTGATCCTGTTGTTCACCAGGAAAAGTTTTTTTAGCTTCACGAGGCTCTCGAGGTTTTCAATTTTCGTTAACCGGTTGAACGAGATGTCCAGGATTCTTTGTCACATACGTGCAAAGTCATGAAATAAAATAAAATGAAATACGAAAATAAATCTTTGTGCAGTGTTCAGTTTTTTTTCCACCTTGGTGACAGCATTGAACAGTTCAGTCCCTTTGGAACCATAATGAACTAGATTGGACTGGCGATGAATAAAAAATAAGACATCAACGTTAGTGCACTACATTTTTGCCTGTTATGATAATTTGCTGTTGCCGGTACTTTTATACCAAATAGTAGATGGTCGAGACAGTTTTTTTAGCCCAATAAGGAAACATAAACTAGTTAAAACAGAAATGTCGTATCTGTCCAGTAAACATTTAAACAAATATAGGTACTTCATTTCTTTAGAGCAGCATCACATCACAATAATAAGTGAAAAGAAAATTGTGTAAGCTAGCACCAAATGCCAATAGATTTCAAACACAAATTTGTTAAACTAGACACTACACAACTCGTTATAAGGGTAGCATACCAAATGAAATACAAGATGACCAGCCACTGCTCAAAATTTCTAATACATATGTCCAATAAGCATTCATGCCTTCATTTGCATATCAAAGATTAACTGTACTCGGATCACCCCGAAAAGGCTAGTGCCAAGAATTTAACTACATTAACTGTACTACAATTGAAGTCATCACACTTTTTATAGAAAGACCGAAATGCTGTACTCACTCAAGGTTAACCAGACCATCAAGATTCTCAATCTTTGTAATTTGGTTGTCGTAAAACTCTAGCTCCTTCAGCGTTACCAACATCTGCACATTTTCGATCTTCTTCAGCAAGTTGTTCCTAAATATTAAAACCTAAGGAAAAAAAAAGACAAAGCCATTAGAATTCAACCTTACTTACTGATTGAATGGAGGTGGCAGTATTCTGTGACAACTATACAATTGCAGCAGGTCTGAATTAATTTCATTCCATGAGAGCCCACAACAGGGTTATGTTGGTTTTTATTTTGGTAATTTAAAAAAGCCATCTGATGAGTGATGCAGCTTTTTTTAGTATCAAAATTTTTTTACATGATTACATTTTTTCATCACCAATGATAAATAAAACATTTGGAATTGTCGCTTGCTCGATTTATCAGTCAACTAAAGAACACAGTATGAACCGCATGCGCAGCACAGCGACTTGACAGGCTGCACTGCGTTGCATTTCACCACTTAACATTATGAAACCATCTTGTGATTTCTATGAAAGTGAGATATCGTACAGTGCTCAAACCAAATGCAATCCCTTGGATGGCAATAGCTAACACTTACAGGATCAGGTACAGTTCCCGTCGATAAAAGAATAAAAAAATGCAGGCATCACAGGAGTTATCACCAAAGCTCAATACGCAGAGCATCACGTTTGTTCATTTTTGCAATACAGAGGTTGTGGGTATAGCTCATAAAGACAGCTAGTAGTTCCTTAATTCATCTAATTTTATTTCACTTCGATTTATCACTTCTACACTTTAGGGCAAAGAAATATAAAATTTACTTTATGTTTACCCTCGCTTCATGTGGTGGTGACAAAAAACAGAGGAAGGAAAAGAAAGAAAGAAATTTGGATCCTCCCTTCTTGTTCATCTTGTTTGCCGTGGTAACTTACTAATATTGTCATGTCACTAAGCTCCGGAATGCAGGTTAGACTTTAGGCCCCAACAGAGATATTACGACGAAAGGGACAAGCAAGAACACCTGTCTGTGCACTTATATTCAAGTTCACCCAAAGAGCCCCCAGTGGTCAAAATTAAGCCACAGTCTCCCACTACGGTGAGCCTCATAATCGCATTGCAGCTTTGGCACTCAGAACCATTGAATTAAATTTTCCTTTGCTCATTAATCTTATCATAGTGAAGCCAAAACACAAAGTGCCCAACAGTATTGACACATCTCGTTCTATTTGTGAAGACGCTAAAGCAGAAGTACAGATGCACAGAGGGGGGTGCAGATTAGAGGCTATAAACAAGTGCATTCACAGATGGATATATTGGCACATGCATACCTGCCAACTTCAAGGATTCTGAAAATGGGGGGAGGAGAGAGAAGGGTGTCATGCCGATTTATTTTGCCCCTTTCCTTTTTTGCATAAAAAAAATGGCGATAAAAAATAGGGGCGGTTTGGAGGGGAGGCTGCAGTAAACATCTGCGTTGCGCAGTATTTTAATGGCTTGGAGTGACTGAACTCCCGAGGGCAGGGTTTCCCAACTACTACTGTACAGTAGAAGGTGCGATCTCGAAGGGGCCAAAAATACCTATCAAAACAACTAGCAAAATCTATTTCTGTCAAAAGAACTCGCGTATGTCTTCCTGGGACACATGTGAATGGATGGGATGGACGGGCACTTCCTGTATACTTTCGGAGTTCTGTCAGCTACATCATCGCCACACATGATCGCGTCAAGAGCAATCGCGGTTCGGTCCACAGCGGTTGTGGCAAACGATAACCACAGTTCTGACAGTGCGTGCACTGGCAGCGTGTGTCTTTTCGAAGCTTCGAGCACGCTGCTATTGGGTACTGTTTGATGGTTTCGGTATTAAAGTTCATGCAGCCCGCCGCGATGAAGAAAAGTGCTCGGAACATTCAAATTTTAGCGCAATGAACAAATTAGAATTTGGCTGGGAAATTTCACGAATTCGTATCTGCTGGTTTCACATTATTGAGATTCTACTGTAGGTTTAGATTAATGTCTCCTAAATTCGTTTACCATAAAATGTGATGGGTTCCCAAAAAGCCTATCGGATTGGGCTGCACATTTGTCAATGCGGCCAGATCACGACCCTAAATTTCAATTTTCAGGAGATTTTTGAGACAACCGTACAAACGTTAAGAACTGGTCGAAATCCTGGAGTCTCCCGGAAAGTCCTGGAGACTTGGCAGGTATGCACATGGCTACAAGGCAACAACACACGTGAGCTTCAAATCATTGTAGTCCTTTCCAAAGCACTTGTCTTTTCATCATCATAAATGCATCATACGTACAGTAGGCTCTCATTAAACAGAACCTGAATGTTCTGTTTAATAGGAATTACACTGACTGAGAGATGACCAGGAGTGCAGAATACAAGAAGAAAACCAATATTTTTAGAAGTACTTGTTCCAGTTAGGCAGCAGTTCTGTTTAACAGATATCTGTTTACTGAGAGTCTACTGTATTTGATTTACAGGAATCATGAATGCTTCTTGGCACTTCACATACCTTTAGTAGAAAGGTGGGTCAACTCAATAAATCATCTCACATTTAAACTGATTCAACGAACATGCTCTACAAAATGTTCAGATCAGCACATTATGTGCATGCGCAACACAACACTCACGGCACACGATTTGCTTGCTTTTCTGTGCTACAGTGAAGGTATCGATGATTGGCTGCAATAGCCTCTGCAGTAAATAGTGAAAGCTATATTAACCACCCAAGTGAATGCTTGCCAAGGCAAGACATAATGCATCACTGACCTCTACTTTCCGCAGGGGTTCCAAGTTTGACACTTTCCCAATGCGGGAATGGTTGAAATCGACGAACTGCATCAAACAAGCGAGAAATGCAAGTATTTTGTCAACTTCACAAGAGAAAAACAGAACAACAAAAAAAGCTGCCCCATTAAAATCACACAGCTTTAATGAGTAAGAGCTAATAACAGTTGTGCCATTAACAAAGTCAAGAGCTGTCATGGTACACACGCTACTTTCATCGTTTACTTAATGAATTTGCTAAATCATCTTTCCACGACACCTCGTGTAAATCAATGACACTAAAAAAGTCCTCTTAACTATCGCACCAAACCCAATTTGCTTTGTTATAAAAGTGCGGCCCCCTATGTGGCCTTTTCCCTCTTTGCATAAAAGCATGGTCTACAACAATACCGGAGAAAAGATCAACATAATGTGCACTTTCTTTGCACTGAAACTAGCTTTAGGAGCGAAGAACACTCGAGGGTTCCGAGCACCAAAATGTCTTGCTTTAGCTGGATCGTACTGATCGTGAGTCTCTTTTAAAACTCGTAAAAACAAATAATGCTAAATATCGATATGTTAGAGCGGCGGTTACAGGTCTGTGAATTAGGTGGCAGCACAAAAAAAAAGCTGTTTTACAACAATTTAAAGAGACACCCAAAATACCATGAACACAATTACAATTAAGACTGGCAGTCTTCCTTCAAAATTCACTTACATTGTATTCATAACAGGCTTTAGCTTTCAAGATGAGGGAAAGCTTACTTTACAAAGCAACGTTAGTTAGAATAGCATAGATAGTATAGTATAGTAAGTACATGTCGACTTACGGTACATTAGCACACAAACTACTATACAGCTGCCCTGCACATTAGATGTAAAAATACAGGGGGACCTCGATTATACATCTTTCAGGGGATCATGCAAAACCGTCGTACGTATAATCCGGGTGTTGTATAAGCGAAAAACTAAGTATTACAGGTAGTGACACTTAGCTTTGCCCCCCGAAAAATGGGTACAGACCACCTGAATAAGCCCACGGCACGACCTTGTCCCTCTGCAAGGCAGCTAATGGCAGCATTACTTAGTTAAAGGAGGTGCGAGCAAATCTTTATTCTCAGCTTCAAAAAAAATGTAATCCAACGCACATCTTTCTACCAATAAACACAGTCCGAAAATTGCCTGTGCATGAGAACGAAACTGAAACCACATTGCCAACAGCCTCCCATCAAAAGAGACCAGACACAGTGTCATCGCTATCACATAATGACGACAGACTGCGAGTTCGCATTCAACGCCCTTGTTCGTGACTAAGCTGTTTGCGTTATAATTTGTTGGCTTGTGAAATGCAACTAGAGATGTCCTACTCTTGTTATAAACATTGATAATCAGTGAATGTAATTTTGCACGGTGAAAACAGCTGCCTTCGTGCGCAAGCTTGTGACTGTGAGTGCGACAAAGGCAGGAGATCAACTGTAAGTTGACCAAGATAAGTTTCCACGGACCGGAAACGTGAAAATATCAGCTTTTTGGCCAGCTGAAGCTACTCTGCGGAGCTCGACTGGGTAATTACTCCGGATACGCATGCATGCAATCAAGGCGTACATAGAAACGCCTGAACTTCCAGGAGAATAAATTTTCCATTCTAAGGAGACATTTTGTCTTGATCTATACTTTTCTAATCATCAACCTAAGGGAATGCAGGCTCATATTTCAGCACTAGTGAATATTTGGAGGACGTTTGATTTCAGTAAAGAAGGTTTTGTAGGGGCGAAGCTCCTTATGGCGTGGCTTGGGCGTCCTGTTGTCGTATTACGCAACCTGTGGCACATATCTGCACACCGATGGCACGTATCTCAGCATATCCATGGAATGAATGGTGATGAGTGGGGCTAAGCTTCTGTCAATCCTTCTGCGCTGACAGCAGAAATGTGGTACATACTCTCATTTAGTCCTTGGCTTGCCCGCTGAATGGTGGTACTTGAAGTGTTCACTAGATGGATGGATGGACAGGCAGACAAGCAGACAGACAGACGCACGGATGGATAAACGGACACACGTACGGATGAACTGATGCACAACGGACAGACGCACAAACGGGTACACGTACGGATGCACGGACAGAAGCACAGACGGATTGACGGGCGCTTCGCCCACTCATCATCATTCATTCTTTGGATATGCTGTGATACTTTTTTCTTTCAAACAAAATCTGAAAGTCATCGTAAGATGCGAAAATGGCATAAAACTGTATCTTATAACCAAGAAGATTAATATATTACTTCTATGAGGATTTTGTGGGAACCAAACTGATTCATCATTAAATGTGGGTCGTCGCTAAACCGTGGGACGTATGATAGAAGTTCCACTGTACACGTATACAACACTACAGAGAGGTGGCGCCAGAATTCCAAAATGTGTGCCAGGAAGGATTTGCAGCTTACGTATTTAAGCTATTTAAGCCCCTAATAGCAGCTAGGCTCCTTTAATTAGTGCTTCCATATTTTCCATATTTGCAATAAGTATGTCAGAAAGATCTCTGCACTTCCAATTATTTAGGTTAACGTAAAGCCGAGACCGGCTGTTGTCAGCAGCCCAACAAATACACTCAAACCTCATTATAACAAAGCATCTAACAGGCGAATAAGATCGTTATATCCAAAAATTTGTTATAAAGGTTATTCTTAACGTTTCATCTGTTGCAAGACTATTTTTCATTTATTTAGTTATAACCAATATGTGTTCATAATATTGAGCTATGAGTGTATTACATTTTAAGCTAACCTGTAGATTTTTCTTGGAAGTTATGTACTTTCGTAATTTCACATGCACCAGAGTGGGGCCCAAACAGCCCACAAAGTTTGTTAGCGAGGAGACCGTACAGTAATATATGTTCTGAGTGGCAGGAAACGGAACTGATTTGTCGGGTCACTAACCTGACAAAAAAAAAAAAAAAATTAAGGCAGCTTATTGGTGCTAAGCTGAAGGAATGTAGCTTCGTGGCCTTCCTCATTTCTCTTTATTCTTGTTTTTTCTTCCTCTACTTTGTTTTTTCTAGCTCTTTCGTTGGTTTCGTTTGTTGTCTTTCTCGCTCCTTCTATCTCTCATCCCCTTATATTTATCACTTCCTTTTTTTCTCTTTTTTTTTCTTTTCGAAATTGCTTTGTCCTCGTCTTACTCTATCCTTTTGATCTCCTTTTTGCGTGTGTGTTTCTTTCTATCTCTTCGTCTCATTGTCTGAAAATTTCGTCGCTCATAATTATTGCACCCCATGCCAAATAAATAAGTGTAAGTGTCTTGAAAGCAAAAAAAAATGAGTCAGAGGGTGGTGAGAACATGTGCCAGTTCATGATGAGGATAATTTTCTAAACTGCAGACGGAGTTTCTTTGAGCTTAATCAGGACCGCTGTTACAAATATTTGAACACGACGTCAAATTATATAGAGGTGCCACTAGTACACTTCACAACTCACCGTGTCATCGAGCCCGATACCTTCCAGAGATATTTCATTTACTTTGGGTCCTTTTGGCCTGTGCTCCTCCTCTGTGAATGGTTTAGGAAAATGCCGTATTAGTAAGAAGTCCAAATTTACTAAACAGTTATAGTTTATGGTTAGCATGATAGCGGAGGTTAAGGGAATAAAGTTGCCGTGCAGCAAAAGTTCATTGTGGACATCGTCTGATAGTTTAGCGGGATAGCGTTTACGTAGTTTATGTGCCCCAGCTGGGACAATGTCACCACCAATCGGATGGTTAATAAGTTAAAGACAATGAAAAAGAAAAGAAAACGAGAATGCTTGCCTATGCCATCGCGTGAAGCATTGTTACAAGTTTATTTTACTATTAATAAAAGCAAATAAATATGAACTGCGCACCAAAAGCGAAAAAATTATGTTGCTGATTTGTTTACATCGATCTTGTAGTTAGGCCTCGACGCGTTCGAAATGGGACGCTGTCTCGAGAATTACGCTGCCAACTTATTCACAATCTCGGTCATCGAAGTTAACTGAAGGCAAGCAAAGCCGCTTTAAACAGTCATTTGCTGCAAACAAAGCGAATCTTATAACAACTACGCCAAAATCACTTCGAAGCGGGCGTCCGAGAGCGCCACCATGTTTATGTACACTACGTACACTTACGCTATCACGGTAACCTTAAATCTGAAAAATACCGCGCGTACGGTAACCCGTACGGGTAATGTACGGATCTGCACATGCGCACTTCGATTCCGGTATCACGGTATGCCCGGTATCCCGGTGAGCCCGGTATACTATAACTGTCTACTTTCTAGAACATGACTACATACTTGCAGCTAATTTCAAAATGTAAGCAGAATGCAGCTTACCATGATGGTCTGTGCAGGCTAAACAAAAGGAAAAAAAAAAAAACAGATCAAGATTGACACTACGATGCTACAGCAGGTCGTCCTTAAGGTAACCATAAAGTTAGCTTTTAGAACAGGAAGAACCTCCAGTACAAACGCTTCAATATAGCCTGTGAGAATAGATTGCGATCGCCTTACACTCGAATGATAGCAAAAACATATTTTTTTAATAAAGAGCATTTCAAAATGTAAACAAAACGCAGCTTACCCTGATGGTCTGTGCCAGCTAAAGAAAAGAGAAAAAAAAGGAACAAATCAATACTGACTCTGGGCTGCTACAACTGTAAAGTTTTCTTTTAGAACAAGAAGAACCTACAGTCCAAATGCTTCATTAAAGCTTGTTAGCATAGATTGCAACTACGTTACACTCAAAAGAAAGCAAAAACATAATTTTTTAATAAAGAGCATTTCAAAATGTAAACAAAACGCAGCTTACCCTGATGGTCTGTGCCGGCTAAAGAAAAGATAAAAAAAGGAACAGATCAAAATTGATTCTGGGCTGCTACAGCAGGTCATCCTTAACATAACTGTAAAGTTATCTTTTAGAACGAGAAGAACCTAAAGTCCAAATGCTTCATTATAGCTTGTGAGCATAGATTGCGACTACCTTACACTCGGGAAAAGCTAAACATTTTTTTAAGGTTAGGAACATTTCGAAATGTAAACGGAATGCAGCTTACCCTTAAGGTCTGTGCCAGCTGAAGAAAAGGGAAAAAAATAACAGATCAAAATTGACCCTGGGCTGCTACAGCTGGTCATGCTTAAGGTAACCATCAAGTTATCTTTTAGAACAGGAAAAACCTGCAGTCCAAATGCCTGATTATAGCCTGTGAGTGCAGATTGCGACTACCTTACACTCTAAAGAAAGCAAGAACATAAGAAAAGGAAAAAAAGAACAGATCAAAATTGACCCTGGGCTGCTACAGCTGGCCATCCTTAAGGTAACCATAAAGTTATCTTTTAAAACAGGAAGAACCTGCAGTTCAAATTCTTTATCAAAGCCTGTGAGCACAGATTGTGACAACCTTACACTCGAAAGAAAGCAAGAACATTTTTTTTTTAATTAAGAGCATTTCAAAGTGTAAACAGAATGGTGCTTACCTTTTTGGTCTGTGCCGGCTAAAGAAAAGGGGGAAAAAAAAAAGAACAGATCAAAAGTGACCCTGAGATGCTACAACAGGTCATCCTTAATGTAACCATAAAGTTAGCTTTTAGAACACGAAGAAACTGCTGTAGAAATGCTTCATTATAGCCTGTGAGCACAGATTGCGACTACCTTGCACTCGAAAGAAAGCGAAAACATTTTTTAAATAGGAACATTTTAAAATGTAAACACAACACAGCTTACCCTTATTGTCTGTGCCGGCTAAAGAAAAGGATAAAAAAGGAACAGATCAATATTGACTCTGAACTGCTATAGCAGGTCACCCTTAACGTAACCAACAAGTTAGCTTTTAGAACGGGAAGAACGTGCAGTCCAAATGCTTCATTATAGTATGTGAGCACACATTACAACTGCCTTACACCCGAAAAAAGCAAAAACATAAGAAAAGGAAAAAAAAGTAACAGATCAAAATTGACGCTAGGCTGCTACAGCTGGTCTTCCTTAAGGTAACCATGAAGTTTATTTTTTAAAACGGGAAGAACCTGCAGTCTAAATTCCTCATTATAGCCTGTGAGCATGGATTGCGACTACCTTATACTCGAAAGAAAAACATAATGCAGCTTACCCTGATGGTCTGTGCCGACTAAAGAAAAGGATAAAAAAGGAACAAATCAATATTGACTGTGAGCTACTACAGCAGGTCACCCTTAACGTAACCAACAAGTTAGCTTTTAGAACGGGAAGAACCTACAGTCCAGATGCTTCATTATAGTCTGTGAGCACACATTACTACTACCTTACACTCTAAAGAAAGCAAAAATATTTTTTTAATTAAGAGAATTTCAAAATGTAAACAGAATGCTGCTTACCCTTAGAATCTGTGCCTGCTAAAGAAAAAAAAAAGAACAAATCAAAATTGACTCTGGGCTGCTATAGCTGGTCATCCTTAGGTAACCATATGGCTATCTTTTAGAACAGGAAGAACCTGCAGTCCAAATGCTCCAATATAGCCTGTGAGCACATATTGTGACTGCCGTAAACTCGAAAGAAAGCAAAAATAATTTTTTTAATTATGAGAATTTCAAAATGTAAACAGAATGCAGCTTACCCTGATGGTCTATGCCATCTAAACAAAAGGAAAAAAAAAAAAGGAACAGATCAAAATTGACTCAGCGCTGCTACAGCAGGTCATCCTTAACGTAACCATCAAGTTAGCTTTTAGAACGGGAAGAACCTGCCGTCAAAATCCTTAATTAAAACCTTGTGAGCACAGATTCCGACTACCTTGCACTTGATAGAAAGCAAAAATATGTTTGTTTATTAAGAGCACTTAATAACACAATGGTGATAAAAAATCAAATTGGGCATAAAAAATGTCAAGTGGAGATGATTGGACACACGTACCACACGTGTGTCGTGCTGTGTCTTATCTACATCTGTTGTCAATGTCTTTTTAAGCCCATTCGGGTTTCCCGCCTTCATTAATCTAAATCAACTCATCCAAATGTAGACTCAGTCAAACCCCTTTATAAGAGACGCTGATGTAAGAGACAAATGGGTATAAGAGGCACCAGTGCTAACAAAAAAATGCGGGTACACAAGAAAATGAATCCGAGGCACCGCCCTTCTAACAGACGTCTCGTATAAAAGACTAACTGCTGCCCTGAGGTATGCCTCTTATAAAGGGGTTTAACTGTATACGCAGCAGTACAATGAACCACATCACAAGAGCAACTAGTGCACATGCACGTGTGCTGGCACCAGCTGTGCAAACGCCCAGTAAAAAGCATGTGCAATGCAAGCAAAAACACAGCAAACATGCACGCATACATGCATGCGAAAACTGTCAGGGCAGAGCATACCAACACACGTCGGAATAGTGTGACAGCTGTTGCGAAAAAAGCTCACAGAAGGCATGACTGCCAATATTCAAATTTAGAGGTTCCTGTACGGTGTGGTGACAATGGTTGTTGAATCATTTCAAACAGCTACAACGTAGATCTTCTGCAGAAGGCATACACGTTCTTGGCTGTGTGAATGCTAGCAAAGGGTTGACACAGATTTTAATCAAGGGCTGCGCAGCCAGCTTTTACAATATTCATCCTATGGTTAACTAGTATGAAATTAGGTGATCTTCTATACTAATGATATATCAATTACAAAAAGTGTTACGTAACTCAAACATAGTCTGAAGTTTATTTTACAGTTTGGACAATGCATGAAAGAGGAATTGCCACGATGCCAAAGTAAAAGGCGTGTTTATAAACGCCCGACTAGGCTTCTGGTACCACGAGTATGGCTGACAACAATGAACGACTGTGGAATAAGCACATTTGGCAAAATTACAAATGTAAAGTTGGTTAAATACAGCATAATGAAGATGAATAAACTAAAAAGTATAATAGTGGAGTCTGCAGCAAACAGTAGAAAAGTACAATTGACACTTTGCGGTCCGTTGTCGGGCAAAGGGTTAAGTGTCAGTTGTACTTTTTAACTGTTTGCTGCAGACTCCACTATTATACTTTTACGTTTATTCATCTTTATTATGCGTGCATTGTCGGGCAGTGCCCAACAACGCACGCTGCCCGACAATGCAACACGGCTATAGTGGTTCGCTGTCGGGCACCACCGGAGAGGTGTGTTCGTGGTATAAATTTCGTGGTTTTCCTATTGGAAGTCAGGCACATCTTTAAAATACATGAAACAGCATTTCTTGAGGATTGAGTGAGCCTGAGTTGTTGAGGTTTACAGTGATGACAGTAATTTGACGGGGGTGAGTGACGACGAGGACAGCGATGAAGACACCACCTCCTTTTTTTTTTTTTTTTTGCAAAACCTGCTGTAACAACTCTAGCCCTCAACCCAGGAGAATGTAGAAGTGGTATCATACACTGCCCAAATATCGCTAAAGGAGTTGCTTGCAGAATACAAGAAGAAAAAATAAATGTCCCCTGAAGTTTTCTTCCACAGTTCGTTTTTATTCGCTATGCATGAAATTGGGAAAATAGTTTCGGACCAGTAGAGCCGGAAAGTGGATAAAAGTTTTGGACCGCAAAGGGTTAAGCTAGCGATATTTATTCAGCATGCTGATCGGTTGTTTTATATACCATTTAATGTAGTTAACATGATGCATCCATCGGAACTTCCAATAAAGGAGTGCTCCCAAAAGAACCTGTACTCATAAATTCTTTCAAGACTTGCTATATAAAAAACGAGATATAATCTCAACTGTTTTATTAATTGGAGCAAAAATCATATGCTTTACTGATTCTAGGTAATTTTTAATTGAAGAAGTAAGGGTAAAGATGTTATCTGAGGGCAATAAAACATTCGTTTTGTGGGCATATAACACAATATCTAATGTTTTTAGTATTGCAATGATATTATTAATGTTAAGGGGGCCCTGCAAGACTTTTTGAGCACGGTCAGAAAACACTGCCATTCGGTAGAAAATGCTCCTGACAACAAATGAGCCAAACAATAAGCGCAGCAAGCAGCCTGGAATTCACAATAAATGATCAAAGTCAGCTGAAAATTGCTTTCTCTTTTATCGACAAATGATGGAACACGCACGAAAATCACTCGTACAAAGCCCATCTATCAGCCATTGGCTGATTGGCACATGGCGCACTCGGTCGTTAGAAATTGCCGCTGGACAAGCGACTACTTGTCCACGGCTACGTGGACAAGTAGCCGCTGGAGGCCGCTACTTGTCCACGCGTGCGCACGTATCACACTGAAAAAGACGCGTATTTAAAAAAAAAAACAAAAAAAAGTTTTGAAGGTAACAAGGCGTGCGTGACATATTCTCAATGCCCCTGCCATCGCTCCCTGCTTAGCTTTCAGTGCTTTCGTCGGGACTAGAGAAGAAAAAATTCAATTGCAGCATGCGACAAATCTTTGTAACTCCACTCGCATTGGACGGACTCCTGAAAATTTTGCGGCTGTGAATTCGTGAGGCAATAAGTTCTTCCAGTGAATTCATTCCATGGTTGCTTGAGAAGTGTTTCAGGCCCTTTTTAAGAAAAAAAGAGTGGTACCTAAAATGAAACCTTGCAGAACGCCACAGGTACTATTTGCACCGTCTGACTGGTACCTTACGTCATCAGGCTTAGATGATAAATAGATCATCGGAGGTAGCTCATTGCTCGCAAATCCCTAACAGAAATAACAGCTCCTGTGCACTGAATCACTGTGCGCACTAGACAGCTACGAGAGCAAAAGCGATCAGCGGCCCGTCCACTTTTTTAACAAGCGTGACAGCCTCTCTATCACAGATAAAATATAATGGCAATGCTGACATGTGCAGCTTATTACAAAGAAATGCAGGCTAGCAAGCTATAGGCTACCTTTAGTCCAGATTTAAGATATAAATGCTTTTTTTCTTTTTTGCCGAACACTAATGCAGCCTTTTCATTTTTTTTTTAAATTTTTTAGGCTGCTGAAGCGACCCCTATTCCCTTCTTTAAGACTACCATGCTATTTGCTGTGCTCCTATGAGAGTACAAATTGGAATGCAAGAGCACGATCTTGTTCCGTACCGAGGATTGGTGAAATGGTCACTGCAACGTTGCAGATGATCTTATTATCTTCTTCGACCTTCTGGGCAGGTCTCAGTAGGGCCCCTTCTGTTTTCACTGAAAGCCAAAGCAAAAGCCCATTTGCAAGATGCACAAGTGCTGCCTTTCAACATAAATCGGAACAGCGGCAATGTGTGAAACAAACAACGCTGCCTGACCCCACTGAATGGGAAAATGAGCATAGAGAAAATGTGGGATGGCGTTTGGCATAAGATCGAGACCTTAAACATCCCACCTTCTCCCTTGTTTCTAGTTCGCATACTGTACATCAGAAGTGCGCCGACAGTTAAAGGCTAAAAAGAAAAGAACCAGCAGCCATGACACTTCTTCATAAATTTAAAGGGCCAGTAAACAACTTGGTGGTTCAGAATTTCTAATGAAGGAACAACTGCGCACTTGTACCAAGTGAACATGCTGCTGCAAGAACTTTGGGAATAAGTGCTGTAATAAGGAAGTTACAGGGCTCAGGACCACCCGCTTTGGTTAGTCTCAGTTTATCGCTCGTCCTTCCCACTTTTTAGGGGCAAAGCTTCTTAAGGCTTGGGTCTGTACATCCTCCGATGTATGTAGTTGTAGTAGGTAGCCACCGGTGGCATATACCTGCTCTAGAGCGGGTATGTGCCACAGGGGATGCGAGATGGCGGCACTTAGAGTGTTCACTAGATGGACGCACGGATGGATGCACGGACAGACAAACTAGCAGACGGACGTGCGAACGGACTCACGGACAGACGCATGGATGGTCGCACAGACGGACGGAAGCAAGAACAGACAGACAGAAGCACGGACGGGCTGACGGACGCTTCGCCCCACTCATCATCATTCACTCCGTGGATATGCTGCGATTTTTTTATCCCAGCGGAAAGGAGTAGGCGTAGACGTTTGTCGTGACTATGCCCACTTCATCAACGTAACATGTTATTGGCATGCAGCCAACAACCAAGCACGGCTTCCCCCACGCGAGCACGTGTAAGAGCGACACGGGGAGGAAGAGTGGTGCGAGCAACACAATTCCCCTGGCGGTAAAGTAGCGAGACGTCTCTTTATATCGGAAGCTTTCGTTCTGGCAATACCGCTTTTCCCAGTAGCCTCATGCCCTACGAAACGACAGAGGGCAGCAAAGGAAAATTAAAACGCAGACAGCGCGTCCAAAACTGCCTCAACACTTCGTAGGGCAAAGGAACAATCAAGAAGCTCAGGGGTGCGTAATGTTGCCCACGGGCAAAATTTCATTACTTCGCGCACAAGGAGGACTCGCCAGCCGAAGGAAAGGAGCACAGGAATTATTCTTCGACATGGAGGATCTGTGTCGCAAGCAGCACTGCAATATTCACAAAGTATGATCACTTCGGTCTATTGTACCAATTAGCATGGTTATTTATGGGATGTAAAAAAACACGTCAGAGCCTGTTTACTGACCCTTAAAACTAGGGCATGAAGTTCTAGATGACTGGGTTCATGCCATTAGCCAATTTTAGACATGATTTCCCTTGTGTGCTATAAAGCACTAAAATCATAACTCTCTAAATGTGCTTGAGAAAGGCATCACATTATTTTGATCTCCTGCAGTTATGTACAGCTTAATGTTAGCTACAAACTATTTTCGCATCCTGAATGAGGTCGTGTATGAAAGCCTCAAGCGTTGAATTCAGCAGCAAAACATACTTCTTAGCTGATGAGTTACTGCAATTATAAAAAGAAATCGGCCAGTCTAGAGCAGCAAGTGATAAACAGTTAGAGCCAAGCAGAAAGCAAAGTTTGATGACATCAGCACTAACAAAAAAAAAAAAACGATTAAAGACAGTGCACAAAACAAAAGCCAAATTTGCATGCTATTCAAATCATGCTAAAGCACAGATGCAGAGGAAATTCACAGTGTCAAGCATGGGCACCAATAGTCTCTGGAATCTCCGTGACCTACCACTGTTTGCGTCAGCAGCGGCAGGCTCAACAGCCCTAGCAGCTTCTGGAGTTCCTTTGGCTTCTGCACTCGGCATCGCTGTCAACATGGCGGCATGGAAAAAATAGAGAAACATTGCCTCTTTGGACAAATAAAGAACTAGTTGGTTCAAGGAGCACATAGTGTTCAACTCTGCTTTAGTCAGCTGTTTCCTCAAAGAAAGCAAAACTGACAAGGGGAATGTGTCGAACAGGACTGCCTAGACTGCCAGGGCATAGTGTTTAGTGAGCAAACGAAAATTTCAAGAAGAGACAAGGCTGTGATGCTGCCTTGCTGCCTAGCCTGTTTTTTTTTTTTTTTTTTCAGTCTATAACGTTTTTAGCAAATGCAGTTTGCTGGCACTCTGTGCAAATGGTAGCACGAGCTTGTCATCTGGCGTGCAATTCGACGCGCATGAAGCTTCTAAAACAACGAGCTACGAAAGAATTAATAACGACTGCGATCTTTTTTTTTTTTCCTTCCTAGCACAGACAGAAAAAAAAAAACGATTCAAAACTACGGCAGTTGATTACGTAAACACCGAACAGGCAGTGGGGCCACACTTGTCAGCTACGTTTAAATGAGTCTAAATTCGAGCAACTAGTCTAAGAGGACCTGGTTTGTGCCACGAGACGGATCAAACACGACACACGACGACACATGACGGAAACGATTGCGATTTCACATTTACCTCGCTCACCTGTCGCTGCTAGGTCCGCGCACGGTTTGGGCGAATCCTGAGCGCCCGGCTTGACCTCTTCCGACTTGGACGGCACTGTAAACAGTACAGCGACACGACAGCGTCAGTGCAGTCACACAAGTGCTCCCCAGAGAACTACACAAGGATGTCCCAAGATGGGAAAACCTTACGACCGCGACAGAAATCAAGTCATTCGGAGAGATGCGTCGAATAAGCTGGATGCACTATCCTTACGATCGACAATCGCAGTTGTACTAGAGGATTCATACAGCGTTACAATGTAAGCGAGCGGCACAGTCGTTTCCTTGTCAAAGGCGTGAAATGTGCAAAAGTTCGCGACTACCTTCGCAGGCAGCGTTGATATCGCACATAACGCGCACGTAGGTGCCTTTGCGACACAAGGGAATTTTCGTAGTTTTAGACAATAAATGTGCAGATCTAGTTATCGTACTATCTGCGAGAGTGCTTGAGAGTCGACAGCGACTGAAAACCACGCGAAAACAAGTACTTAATACTTGCCTGTCGAATTCCCACATTTGCTCATCTTTGGAAACTGGCACCGGAAAACGGCGACGGTGGCGTGCCCTACTGGATATGTCATAAAGCCACAGAACACCTACATAATGCCAGTTAGAGCCTAACGAGCAGTCGCCCGCTTAATGCTTCTACCACACGAATGCATTCAAATACTTAAAAACCAGTAAAAAAATGCTCCCAGAAACCTCCACGTCTAAATTACTCTCACCCGAAAAAGCTGAAATCTACGAGATTTGTGCGCACTTTCAAAAATTAAACGTTCGACTTTCTTGCTAGTTTCGGTTTCGTTTATTGACATGTTGTTGACGTGCCTTCAGTGCCGTTAGTGCGCAAGTGACACGCTTTCCTTGTATCCGCAAACTTGCTGTCAATATTCGGGCTCAGTTAGGCACTGTTGGCACAATTAAACAAAACCATGATTAGGAGACAATCATAAGGTTGAAACGCAAGAACATATATTACTGCACTTACCCTGCTGACTAACTTCGCTGCATGTCCCCATTTTCTACCTTTCTATAACACGCGAACATTCCCATATCTACCGTGTTTAACAGCTTAATTCACGAAAATTCCAGTGTAGATGCAGTGGGCAAAAAGTTATCGTTGTCAGTAAGCGAGAATTTCAGAGATGCAAATAAAAAATAATAAAGCTGCCTTGTCCTAGTAGGAATCGAACCTATGTCTTCTGTAGAGCAGGCAGGTGTTGTGGTTGCCACAGAGCCATGCCACTGCTTTATACAGTTTAAGAAAAGAGCCCTGTATGAACCACGTATGAATGTAATGTAGTGCAACAAGTCTCCTTAACACATGTAATATTACAAGGCAGAAATGTAGAATCGCACCAAGCGTCAGAACAAGTAAATTGTGCACCTAGTCGGTAGTTTTAAGACCCACCAATCACAAAGTGTAGAGGCATAGTTAATTCTAGTGTAGTCTGAAACAGGTAATGTTACACACACAGACACTCCTTTCCTTGCAGTGCGGTGCCCATCATGAAGTGAAGCCACGCTAGTGATTGAGGAGGTAATGAGTATGGGGCCCAATTACTCTATCGCTTTTTTCTCCTGAAGGCAGAGCTCAAGCATACTCCAAGTTTTTAAAAACTCTTGACACAAATGACTGCTCATGTGTCAACTTCAGTTGTCCATTGAACTGTACATAAACTTTATTTATGATACAGTTACATTAAAACGTCTTTTTATTGCTGAACAGTAGGCAGCTTTTATTACACGCGACAAGCTAATTGCTTAACTCGAGTACTCTCAAACAACAGACCAGTCTAAACAAGAACAAAATGCATGACCAAGCATGTAACATTACTTTAAATACAAAAACAATTATTATGCAGTAATAAATTTGTTCTCCATGTGCCCCTTTTTTTTTTCAGCCACACTTTCCTAAGCACATTCCTGAACAAACTGCCTATCAAATTCCACAGTAAAAACTTTGCAGTGTCCGTCATTGTTTATGACCTACACATTGAAGAGCAGGACATGCCATTTATAACATATCGAAAAGCACGTCCACTGCAGCCTCTGGATCAAGGAAGAAACGCCGCTACAATTCGCTTGATGGGCGAGCGACACATGGGGCAGTTTCCAGAAACCAACTCCGAGCAGTCAGTGCACAGACACACATGTCCACACTCTAGGATCATCACTTCTACGGGGTTTGTGCGGCAGATGACGCAACACGGGACCTCTGAAGACGTTTCACGATTGAGCTTCCGTCTTTCCTTCCGTGCCTCTTCACGGCGCATCGAGTCCTTCTTTTGCTGAGCCAATGCCTGCCTTGCTTTCCACCACGTGAACACCAGGTAGCATGACAAACCTAGAGCCGTACAGCCAAGGACGAAGCTGACCACACGCAGTACACTGAGTTCTGAACGCAGCTTGGACACGAGAGCTGGATGACTTAGCTGCGTAAGATAGTAAGAGACACCATCAGCTGGTGGCATCAGCTTGACAGAACCATCGTTCATGACTGTCAATGTGCCAAATGCAGTTAGAGTGGTGCCTTCTTCGAGAAGGAATTCTTGCTCTTCGATGCCCTTGGTCTGTTCTCCACGCAGCCAGCCAAAGAAAACGCCACTCAGGCCTTCTCGATTCGGGATGAAGTTCTCGTAGACACAGTTTACTGGAATATTCTCACACTCCTGGGGGTCTAGCACTTCGACCATCACGTTGCTGTGTTTTGAGGTAAGGGCGAACGGCACGTAGTTGATGATACGGTGTATCTCTCGTTGAGTCTGTGACCTGAAGAAAGTAAGACCTCTTTTCAGTGAGGTAAGGAAGCTTCAATAAATATGCAAGAATTCAATGACCTTTGCTTGCTTATTGACGACTCAAACCATTTTATGCAGCACTATGAACAACAACGCAAGCCAAACTCTTTCATCATCAACCATCATTGAAATTCTGCAGACACACCCAGAAATGGCTGTGACGAGTACATTAATTGTAAAACAAGTTACGTGTGCCGACATTGACACAAAAGAAGGTAAAGAAATGTGTTGTCAATTTCTCTCCTTCTGTGTTCCCCCACCTAACCTTTTTTGTATCATTTCAACCCGATCAGATGCTTACCAGAAGCGGGACACGGGGCTCCATTGGATCTTGTGCTCTGTGAGGCAGCATTCCTGGATGACTGCCTTGGCACCGCGCAGGTGCCTGCTCTTGATCTTTTCACCAATGGCCTTGACTTGGCCTCTGACGAGCGCGTGCACAACAGTGGCATTGGGATACTCTTCGAGCAACTTTGATGCTAAGTTATTGTCGATGTCCAACTGACGGGCTGTCTGTGAAAATGCAAAATCGAAGAGCAACGAAACGCGTTCAGTGAGAGGGGAGGATCAAGAGAAGCCAGAGTCATACCGTTTCTCGTCTGGAACACAAATAGGTCAACAGGTTTGAACACTCGAACTTCATTTCGGCATACGAACCCACTGCATTCACTGCTGTTTTTTTATAGACAAGCTCAACTATATGCACCGACGAGCTGGTTTAGAGTCCATTATCATGGTGCGACTCTGACGCCCAAGTCTACGCTAATCGCGGCTGTTGCTTCATTCGAAACGAGCTATGTATGGCACGACATTGTTTCAATTTTACTGACAGGGAAACGACTGTACGCTCCGTGGCTATGAAACATAGTCGACGGCGAGTTCAAAAAGCGGGTAAGTATTTCGCAGTTCTGAACACATGCGTAGTTAAGTAAAGTTTTTCGTTTTAAGGTGACCCAATCATTCAAGAGACCGAATCGTTCGCCATTCAGTGCACCTTCGATTCCAATGCTATTGGAATGCGTTTCGAAAACACTGCGCACAGTGAGATTGAACATGCTATTTCACAAATTGACAAACGAAAGTTATTCTCACCTGTACCGCCTCGAAATTCGTCACTTTAGACCGGTACGCCTTATAGATTACACTGAGCGTGACAAGGTTGACACCCAAGCAAACGTTTTCGAACGTTAGGTATTGCGTAAGCCAATCGAAGGACATGGTTTTCTTTCGAATTAGAAGCGAATCGTGTAAATTATTGTGTATTTCGGCTCGCGTGTCTTCATGCCCAGCCTGCGTGAACGTGCAATAAAAATCTAAATCAAAAACAGAAAAAAAAACTCTCAGCGTTGCTAGACAGTAGCCTGCAAGCGCTAAATTCAGTAGGCGAAAATCGTTTGCGATTTCCGCCCTTTTATGACAGACCGGGGCAAATGCTAACATGCTCTTCGGCGGCGTGAATTGGTTGAAAAAAAAAAAAGCTTATATAATTTTACACGACTTTCCGAAAACCTCGTGTCTCGGTAATCACCACGAACCCATGTGGTTCTTTCAGACAAAACCCAAAAACCCAGGCACGGCCGCTGTACTAATATTAGAGTTTCGAATTTAAATCAAATAATTTCATACGACTTTCTAATAGCTAGAATTCAAAGTTTGGAATAATTCGACAAGATGAATATTTATTTGTAACGTGACAAAGACAACTTAGGGTGGGGGCGACTAAAATTTGCTGAAACTAATGCTAATGTCGTTAAAGTAGGCATTTCGTTAACACACACACTTTCTTAATTACTCGAGATCTTAAATACTTCAGTTTTTTTTTATGCCGCAAGCGCCGTAAAACGTCCCAATTCGGGCACGCGGAACCCTCGGGAATAGGTCTCACGTGTGAAAATTTGTTCACGCGGTACGTTGTTCTTTAGAAGCGAAGGTTAGCCGCATGACCCCCGGATTCCACAAAATTTTCAATCCTGCATGAGTATATCTACACGCACAATTCACACACATGCTCGAACACATAAATCAGTTTCGTAAATCGGTTTCATAAATCGCTTTCATGTTATCGGTTTCATACTTCTGTGTAACAGCGCACCTAAGCTAAACCAACCATCTGAAATGCGAAGAGTGACAGAAGCACTGATTCGTAAAGGCCTGACCACAGGTGTCCATTGCAGCACGTCGGTGGGTGGCTTTTGGACGCGGCGTCGCACACTTTCTTTCTTTCTAGAGAGATTTGGCGCGAAGCTTCACGTAGCCATGCGCTGAGGCGCTGCAACGGGTACATGTGGTAACTTTAGGCCTTAAAGGCATGGCATTTCGAAGCGGCGCCGTACCCTCTCTCCGTAAAGAGAGAGAGAGGACTAGAGGCAACGCGAAGCTGCGTGCGCTGACGCGCTGCAACGGGTATGTGTGGTAACTTAAAGTCTTCAAGGCCTGACTACAAGCAGGCTTTTCAGCTTGCAAGCGCATGGCGTTTCGAAGCGGCATCCTGCCCTCTCCCCGTAAAGAGAGGGGGCTAGCGGCAACGCGAAGCTGCGCGCGCTGCTACGCGCACGTGTGGTCAGGTATTACCTGTTGGAGTCCACCGCTTGTTGGGTTGTGGTACGCTGGTACATTAAAGTATGCTTTCGTCTTTGTATTACTGACTGTGTAGGAAAGACCCCCCCCCCCCCCCCCCCCATAGACTTTCCTGGCTCACCATATTTTAAACCACAGCACATTGACATCAGCTTAAAAAAAGAAAGCGGAAATATACGTGTAGCTTTGTATATGCGTTTAATTCAACTCACAACGTCGCAAAATATTAAAAACACAAATCCATCTTCCTTAATTGTCCTTGACAAACTATGCCGGAAGCCAGGAGAATTTAGATCCGATCTGCAAAACCAGAGAGAGAGAGGAGAGAGAGTACACACTTGTGACATTCAGAAGCATCTAATGTCACGTGTACACTGTATCTAAAGCAACAATGGCGGTGGCAACAACAACGATACTGGAATACGGCGTGATCAGCTTCGTTGCATATCCATGTCCATGAAAGAAGAATGGCAAGAGTATGAAGAATAAAAACAAAGTGCTCGTAGAGACATTAGACGTTACAATTTCAATCTTGAAGTACAATATAAGCCAGAGATCTGCTATAAGTAACAATAAAAAAACTGCTGGGCTGTTGGCTCATGCTTGACATTAAAACGCAATCCAAGGCGAAAATAGTTCAGGAGAGAAAAGTTGCAATTAAGTGACGCTTTTTCTCGTCCGGAGCCCCCTTGTGTTAAATTGTTATTCTTAATCACTTTGATCGACATAGTGTGTGCTTATTAAAGATGCAGAGCTCTGTATAGGTTTTAAGGCAAGAAAGTTTAGCTGTCAGCGTCCATGCACCGGTCTCCACAACAGGGGAGAGATCTTCCGTTGCGGCTGGAGTATGACTTGCCTTTTAATCAGTTATGTCATGCATGAAAGAAAGGCAGTTTGCAAAGCTCAATTTTCTCTGGTATTCGCAATCCCTATTAAAACAAACAGACAAGCCAATGAGGCTATAGGGTAGCTATGTGTATTCTTTTAGCTGTACTGCAGCGTAATCATGACACAAGCATGGAGGAATCAAAATGTAAGAAAAAAACAACAACTTGCCGCCGGCCGGGAGCAAACTATAGCTGCATCCTTACGGATTACACGTCCGGTAATACTGGCGAACGACATTCCATATATTGTTAGGTAGATGTTGGTGCCAGTGTCGACTAGAGGTCGCTACTAAGTCACTAGAAGGGGTTGAACGTGTCCTAGGGCTCAGAACTGATTGTGTAGCCCTTCCTAAGGTCGTCTGCAACTATAACTCTATGCGTATCAATATGTATACGTATACATACAATGACGCTTTGCCTAGATTATCAGTTCGTGGTTATACTACTAGACACAGGGGGAGCAAGTATAATTGCAACCTCTCTTCCCCTTCCAGCTTTAATTGGTTCAGCCCGAAAGAACATACGCACACTTCGCCATGGATGCAGGAATGAGAATGAAACAATGACGTGTTTTCAACAAACGCCTGTCTTTGGTCACCAGCTTTTCGGAGTTGAAGGTGGCAAGCGAATAGTTATCATAACACAACATCAGGAGTCCTTGCCAGCAACAATAGTCAGAAATCTGCGTGCTCATAAACTGCCATGTTAATTAATGCCGTGAACGGTCCGACAAAGTAAAGTTATACATGAAGGCCCCCCCTGTCCCTTCGCATCGTAACGGCAGGAGGGAGGATGCTCTAGTCATATTTGTAGTATTAAACCTCAGCGTTATTCCTGCAATTCAATTCTTCATTAGTACATCGTCTTCTTCATTATCAATCATATAAAATCATAGGTTTGCTCAAAGTTCCCCTTCAGGGGGAGGGGGGCGAAGGTTCAGACTTTGCACCCCCTCACCCACCCTTTTACGTGACAGGGTAGGGGCGGCCCTCCTCCCCTGTGCCCATGTTTAATGTTGCACGTTCAAAGGAACACTAAACTGAAACGATTAATGACTTTAGATTGGTAAATTATACCTTGAGAACTATAATAGTGATGATTTTAGCATAACAGCTACATTAATTGAGGAGGTGGGTATGAAGATCAAAGTTTAACTTTAAAAGTTCGCTTCGAAAATACCAACACCTGACGTCACGGATCTCAAATAAATGTATTTTTCGTATATTGGCGACGTCGGCTAAATAAGGCTTTCTGAAACTTGGTATCTAAACTCCATAGCGCTCTCAGAAAACAATGCACTTCATTCTTACTGATCAGTAATCACGTAGAGCTTAGTAGATATGCCGCCGAAATCCATGACGTCACGACATTTGGTGCGGAAACTGTAATGTGGCGTCGCCACCAGCCTTCCTGACATTTTTTTTTCTTTTTTGGCGTTTGATCACTTACCAAGCGTTTGCTCGTGACAAGCGAAATGTGAAAAATTGATTTACTAATGTGAAAAAGAAAAGGTTTTCTCTTTATTTCCTCTTTAATGGAACTCATTGTACGCAACTGGTATAGTGTTGCGTTTTTTTTTTTTTTTGTAATGACACAAGAAACGAGGAGCGTCTCACGTACAGGCATCGTCGCTATCCCGCCTGAGCAAAATGGCCGCCGCCGTCACGAACGCGAACAGGGCGAAGGAGAGCGCGATGACTGGCGCCGCCGAGTCCAGAGTGCTCCTCACAGTGCTGCGGTAAGGAGACACAGCAGGAACGTCACACCAGTGGCGTATATCCCGGGAAATCACAAGGAACCCAACGTTTTCCCCGAGTGTGCTCTCCCGTACTTATAGCACCGTTGGCTTAGCTGTCAACAGTGGTCGATCCAGAGAGGAGGGGCGGGGGGGGGGCGGGGCGGTAAGGCGATCAATCACCCCCCCCCCCCCAAGCCTGTGTCAGCCCCCCCCCCCTAATCAATGCTTGTCGTTCACCAGCTACCACCTATTAGGACATATTAGGAGTAGCACTGTGATCAGAGATATACAGTATTTGAACTACTTTGGAGTTTTTGTTCTACTAAAAACAAAAAAGTTAGGGACCCCCTCTTCTCTTGTGTCATAGTCCCCCCCCCCTTCTACACCTAAAATGCGTGGCTGAATCCGGTCCTGTTTGTTGAGGGTATCCCAAATCGGTAACGAAAGCAGCTCAATATGGCTGCACCGAATACCACAACAGCGGTACATCTACCTTGCCATCCTCTCAGGTAGGGACTGAAGTTTTCTTGCTTTGCGAACCCTCTCATCGGACGCCTTGCGTTCGACGGGGAGCTGAGGAGGCGTCGATCGTGGCGGCACGGGCAAGTTCAGCGGGATCCGGATCTTGGGCCGGAAACATGCCACACAGTGCTGCGAGCGACAGTAGCCACAAAGTAACGGCGTCAGGCGCGGTTGTGTTATGTGCCACGCATTATCTTTAAGAAAATAACAAGAGCAACGCGCGCGCGCGCACACACACACACACACACATTATATATATATATATATATATATATATATATATATATATATATATATATATATATATATATATATATGCACACACACAGTCGCGAAACACTATGCTTGTGCTAATAGTGAAATTTAGGTTATTTAGGTTCGAAGCAAATTCGAAGCGATGATTAGTGATTTTGGTCAAATAATTTTGAATCGAATTCAAATACGTATATCACATGTTATCAAGGAATATGAACCTATTTGTCATGACCAAACTAATCTGCACAGTACACATATATTTTTAAAATTAAAACAAGTCCTGCGCAAATGCCTTTTTTTTTTTTTGGTCCAAAGGAAGTGGGAACAACTTGTAGTAATAGCAG